TGTGCTGTAAATCCTTTATTAAAATGTGAATGGCACCGCTCTCAGGAACTAAGGACAGTAATCATCAAGGATCCTAGGAGGCAAAGAAACTGCCACTCTAAAAACCAAACCATTTAACAAAGTTTTGTTGGTAGTCTATTGCTCCTAGGCCACAAGCCTGTACAGCACATTACTGTCCTAAGTCCTATAGGCAATTGTAACACCATGGTAATTGTGTATCTAAACATAGAAAAGGTGTAGTAAAAATACTATACCTTTTACTATAATTTAAAGGGGTCACCCTGTAATAGTCCATTACTGATTAAACAGTATGTGGCCCATAACTGTATCTAGAACCACATCACATACACGTGTATACACAAATGCACATATATAAACACCTGCTACTTACACATAACCATAACCATGAAGTTACTATGCTGGTTTGTTTTTTTGTTTTTAATTTTTCTCCTGGTTGGGAGCCTCACTTCGCTCTAGAAGAAGGCTAGGCTGACCACTGGGGAATTCTGCTCAGGGAGGCTGATTAACTGAGTAACCAGAGTTGTGAGTTCCACCTAAATTGAAGGTTCATGGAATATCAAGTAAGATGTGGAAGTACAAGGTTTATTAAGCCCAAATGTCACTCAGAAGATTTACTGTAGGTAAATCTACTGTAGTCATTTACTGTAGGTCAGACATTAGGTTAGGGCCTCAATAGTGAACTAACAGAGACTGCCCTAAATTGATAATATAGTAGGCTTTGAAGCAAACAGGCAATTATATGTGCTAAGGTAGAGTTAAGCAGAGAATGCTATAGAAGCATATAAGAACAGTTAATCTAATCTTTGTGGGTTAGGGAAAGCTCTAAGGATGGAATGGTAAGACTTCTGCTAGTAGTTAGAATACAGAAAGATGCATGAAAGCCTTTTACATAGTGGTAATAAGAAATAACCAGATAAAAATTACACTTTTTATGGGACTGTTGAAAAGCAATGTTTGTAAGACCTTAATAAAATAAATTCTATAGACATGCCTATGTTTGGAGGAACATAGTTAAGCAGAGAGTTGTGGCATTGCCATGCCCAGAACAAGCCTGCCACACTCTAGGAGACTTTGCAGAGTTAAGGAGAAAGTGGCTGAGATTTTGCCAATGGTATAAGCTGGTGAGACAGACTTGGGTCTGAAAGGACCTCAATCACAAAAATAAATCACTTAGGCATACACCCCACCCCTAAGATTGCTAAGAAAGCAGCAATGGAGGAAATGCTTTTGATAAGTAGAGAAAATTCACTAAATCTTGCACATTCTTCCAGTGCTTGGATTTCTGAGCCCTGCTGAAGCTGAATCCAGAGGTGAACCAACTGATCTGAAACTATGGCCCATCCCCCTCAAACTCAAACACTGACAAGATGCAGGAGCTGAGTCTTTCGCAGAAGGTTGAATTGAATTAACTGCAGCCCAGCACCAGCTTGATTCAAATTGTGACTGAATCTGAATGTTTCATTCTTAACTGAACATTCAGTTCTTTTATTCACAATGTCCAGAATAAAATTAAAAATTATAAGACATGCTAAAAAGCAGCAAACAACTCATAATTAGGAAAAAGTGGTCAATAAAAGCAGGCACATTGATGAACCAGAAATTGGAATTATTAGATAGGGACTTTTAAAAACTTTATAAATTTGTTTTATTAATAAAAAGGAAAAGATGAATGAAGGGAATTTCATGAGAAAAATAGAAACTCTAAAAAACATTTTTAGAACAAAAATATATCTGAAATCAATTTATTGGAGATGAGTTTTATAATAAATTGGAAAGTAGGAAATACTTGAAGATAGGTTGGTAAGAATTATCCACACTGAAACACAGGGAGAAAAGAAAATGACTGGGGGAAAATGAGCAGAGCACCGTGACCTGTGGGCAATATCAAGCTGTCTAACATACAAGTATTTTTTGAAGTCCCAGAAGAAAAAAAAAATGATAAAAACTTTGTGAAGAATTAAAGCCAAAAATCTTTCCAAATTTGATTTAAAACAACGACCCCCAGATCTGAGCAGCTCAGCAAGCCACAAGCAGGATAAATACAAAGAAAACCATACCCATACCCCATGCACATTATATTCAAACTTGAAAACCAAGGACAAAGGAGAGAAGAGATGTGAAGAATGAGTAGGAGTTAGCCAGGCAGGGGTGGTTAGGAAGCAAGGGAAATAGTTCCAGTCAGAGGGAAGACAACATCTTGAAAGACCCACACAGAGCAAGCAGTTCCAAGAATTGAAAGAAATTATTTGGGGTTAAGGAGAAAGTTGTAACAGTGAGAGATATGGTTAAAGAAGTGGCCAAGAGCCATAGAGAGGACCTGTGAGCATATTTTTTTTTTTTTTTTTTTTTTTTTTGAAACGGAGTTTCGCTCTTGTTACCCAGGCTGGAGTGCAATGGCATGATCTCAGCTCACCGCAACCTCCGCCTCCTGGGTTCAGGCAATTCTCCTGCCTCAGCCTCCCGAGTAGCTGGGATTACAGGCACGCGCCACCATGCCCAGCTAACTTTTTGTATTTTTAGTAGAGACAGGGTTTCACCATATTGACCAGGATGGTCTCGATCTCTTGACCTTGTGATCCACCCGTCTCGGCCTCCCAAAGTGCTGGGATTACAGGCTTGAGCCACCTGAAGGAGATGGGGAACAAAATTATATCCTGGGTAATATAATCAGATTTGTCTTCTTATAAGTTACTATGGCTACAATGTGTAGAATAGATTAGAGAGACACAGGACAGAGGCAGGAACTATTGCAGTAACCCAGGCGTAAAAGTGTATTGAACAGAACTTGAGATATGGCAATAAAGATGCAGTTACAGATTGATTCAAGAGCTACTTAGGAGATAGAAGAGGTAAGATGTAAAGGAGGATGGAGTAAAGAGTGACTGTTTCCAGGCTCAGCCACTACCCTCAGGTCACATTCATTATCTTGTACCAAATAGAATGTCCCAAAGTATAATTCTGATCATGCTACGCCCCTGCTTAAAAGCTCTTCAGTGACTCCCATAATTTCTCTGCTCAAGATCTTTCCATGACTTCCCATTACACCCACAGTGAAGGCCAAAGTCCTTATGATGTCCCATAAAGCTCTGCATGATCAGGTCGCCACGTAACTTTCAGACATCATGTCCTTCAGTTCCCCATGTTGCTCACTCTGCTTCAGCTACATTGGATTCCATTGTGAGATTTGGGCTAGATATATTAATGTGAGAAACTCTAAACATTGGGGACATGAGAAGGAACCAGCAAAAGAAACTGAAAAGAAATGACAATGATAAAAACAAAACCAAGGAAGATTTGCCTTCTTGAAAGAAAAATTAAGAAAGTTCAATCAGGAGAAGGTGATCAATCTAAGGTTAAGCTAGGCAACGTGAAACACCACCCACTCCCAAATAATTGCTACTGATGGTCTATGGATCACATTAGATAAACGTGGACTACAGTATCAAATCTGGCATAAAAGGCCCTTAAATGAAATTTTTCTGGCTATGTTTCCTGAGGCAGAATAGGGTCTGGAGGGAGGGAGCCTAAAGCCGATTCATACTGACTTCCTAGAAAAAATCAAAAGGAAAACCCCAACTTTCTTTACCTAAGTAATAAAAGGACCAGAGGCTACTCCCTTTGCAAACCCCTACCTTTTTTGATGGGCAGGTGAAAATGAAAAGTACCTCTAATTGGTTGCTTTCTACAACCAGTCAGATTTTGCATAGGAGTGTAATTTTGTAACTTCCTTCAGCTTCTGATTAGTTGCTGTCTGCAACCAGTCGACTGACTGTGGGCCAAATCTTCTTTTGCATAAAAGTGCAACTCAGTAACATCACTTAAGCCTCTGATTGGTTGTTTCCCACAACCAATCAGATGTTTGCATAGGAATGTGACTGGTGTAACTTCAGTGTCTGATTGGTTGTTTTTCACAACCAATCAGACTGATTGTGGGTCACCACTTCATTTACATGAGGAGAACAACAAGTGGACAACGGGAAACCTCTAGCGGATATTTAAACAGAAGATTCTGTATCCAGACCCTTGAGCTCCCACCTGCTCCCACACTGTGCAGTGTACTTTTGTTTTCAATAAATCTCTGCTTTTTTGGTTCATTCTTTCCTTGCTTGGTGCGTTTTGTCCAATTCTTTGTTCAAAGCATCAAGAACCTGGATACCCACCACCAGTAACACTCCCACCTCATTTCCTACCATTCTCCATTTATGGGATCATTTGCTTCAACCAAACCAAGAGCGCCAGGTGCTGGTGGCTCATTAGAGTCACCAAATAATAATCCCACTGCTTAGGGATCGTTTGAGTCAAGGAATTTGAGGCTACCGTGAACTATGATCCTCACGGCACTCCAGCCTGGGCAACAGAGCAAGACTCCACCTCCCTGCATCTTTAAAACAAAACTGCCCACTTCGGTCCATGTCTTCATCTTTTTGATGCTCATCTTTTAAAAACCTTTGGAAGACTAGGTTTGGTGGTTTACACCTGTAATCCTAGCGCTCTGGGAGGCTGAGGCAGGAGAATCGCTTGAGGCCAGGAGTTTGAGACCAGCCTGGGTAAATAGCGAGAACTAGTGTATACACACACACAAACACACACACAGACACACACACACACACACAAACACACTTTAGAAGTACGTCTTATATCTCGTTCTTCAGAGCATAAACCTTGCCAGTGCAGCAATCGAACTCAATCTTTGTTTTCCCAGCAAGGCCTAGCTAGCAGAGTATATGGCACTTAGGATTTTTTTAAAAATTGTTGCTCAAGGAATGACGGAGCTGTTATATAACAGAACTAAGTAGGGATAACCTCAAAAGGACCCGCAATTTCTGGCTTTTTTGTTTATTTGTTTTTACCCGCCTCTAAGATTTTACTGCTATAACTGCATCCTTGCACCATCACGCACCACCCCGAAATTAACGTCACCATCTGGACTTAAACTACCAATCCCAGAATGCCTAGCGAGGAGGCGGGCTCTCCGGAAGCCCCGAGTGATTGGTGGGCGGCGGCGTTTTCTTCCGCCGGGAAGGGCCCCGGAGGCGGGGATTTGTGGGGGACAGTTGAGACACGATTACCAGGTTGGGCGGTCACCATCTGGGCGGGGTTTGTGGGTGAACTCTGGGTCCCCCGCCCGCTGAGGAGATGGATGAGGATGGGCTTCCTCTCATGGGGTCAGGCATAGACCTGACCAAGGTTTGTAAAAGACGGTGCTAAACTTCCGGCCACCCGGGAGGAGGTTGGGGAAGACGCCGCTTCCCGGGGAGACCCCACCTTCCCGGGCCCCACCCTGTCCCGACCCCAGGCCCTTCTGCCGGCCTCAGGAGGGAGAGCCCCACCGTCTACCTTGAAATAGGGTCCCTCCTGAGCTGATTAAGGAGAAGGCGTGCATCTCCCAACTTTCGCTTCCGGTGTCGGGGGTCTCTAGGTGCCACCGGCGACACAAGCCGGTTGTGATCGCTAGCCCTACCTCTTATTCAGCCCCAAGTTTTTATGTGTGTTTATGTGTGTGGCTTTTGCCTGCTAAAATTCATACTAGTGACGCTAGAGCCTGGTCTCAAACTTTAGTGCATTCTCTGTCATCTTCGGACACCCCACCTACGGTTTAGGACAACAAGTTAATGACTATTCACAGTCTTTCAAGAAATTCATCTCACACAGCAAAGTGCCTCGTGATTATGTCCAGATATTAAAAGGTTTGCACAGTGTACGTTCCTCCTGTATGAATCATGTTTGTTTTTACGTAACACAGGTGCCAGCTATTCAACAGAAAAGAACAGTGGCTTTTCTAAACCAATTTGTGGTGCACACTGTACAGTTCCTCAACCGCTTTTCTACAGTTTGTGAGGAGGTAGGTCCTGTGATACTGGTTTATAGAGTCGCCTAGAAATCACGTTGCACTGCTGAGATTGACAAATGGAGTAAAACAAGAATTACAGTCTTTATTCGTGTACCATGATCTCTTGTCACCAATTGTGTTAACACACCTTAAGTCCTCTTTTCTCTGATTTCTTGCACCCCCTCCTCTAGTGAATTAGTGTTCTAGAAGTCCTCATGAGATAGTTCAGTCAGGCTTATTGCAATTAAAGAGAACAAAAGGAAATCTAAAATTTCTTTCTTTTTTTTTTTTTTTGAGACGGAGTCTCACTCTATCGCCCAGGCTAGAGTGCAGTGGCGCGATCTCGGCTCACTGCAACCTCCACCTCCCGAGTTCAAGCAATTCTCCTGCCTCAGCCTCCCAAGTAGCAGTATTACAAGCATGCACCACCTCTCCTGGTTAATTTTTTGTATTTAGTAGAAACGGGGTTTCACCATGTTGGCTGGGCTGGTTTCGAACTCCTGATCTCAGGTGATCCACCCGCCTCGGCCTCTCAAAGTGCTGGGATTACGGGTGTGAGCGACCGCGCCCAGCCTCTAAAATTTCACAGTTGAAAATAGTTTTTATTTTGAAATTCCTTCTCCTACCCCAGAAATGCATTGTTTTTATTAAAATTATTTTACATTCTAATCTAAAAGATGGCTAGAGGATATAGCCTAGGACTTTGGCATCAAATATGATTATAGAAATAAAAATATTTTCTGTGAATGACTTGTGATGTAAGGATTAAGTACCCAACTAGGGATTAGGTACCAGAACTGGCACAGCAGTGTGCACCTGTAATCCCAGCTGTTCAGGAGGCAGAGGCAGGAGGATCACTTGCACCCGAGAGTTTGAGACCACCCAGGAGTTTGCGTGAATAGTTTTACAAATGAATGTTTCTGTGGGAGAATGAGTGCTGGGAAGTCCTATTCCCCCATCTTGCTGTTGTCCCACCTTTTTCTCCTTTATGTATGATAATCTAAGGTTGACTGTAACTCATTTTCTACAATATATATTTAGGCAATTTGGACATTCGTGTCAGCTGGAGACTGCTCAATGACATGACAACTAATATTTATTGTGTACTTACTCTGTGCCGGACATCATACTAAGTGCTTTATGTGTATTTAATTATCAGAGTCAGCCCTTTGAGAGAGGATTGGTTATCCTACTCGTGCAGATACAGAAACTAAAATGCAGAGAAGTTTAAATCATTTGCTTGGTCATTCATTTATTCAACATATCTTTGTGTGCCCCCAGTAGTTAGTTGTAGCTGCATTCACTACACATACACAGAACGTAGCAGAACTGGATTCCAACTGATTTTTTAACTGGAAAAGTCTGTATCTCATTACTTTCTTACATTGCACTGCCTTATCTGAATAAGAAGCATGTTTATGTAATTTTCGAGTGAGAGAGTACAGTACCAGTACCTTCTTATAGATATATTAAAATCTGTTTTTAGATTCATATTCACTTCTTTGCTGTGCCATGTCTGTTTGATGTAATATTTTTTATGTAAATTCCAAGGATATGTGTATTCAAATGTGAGGTGCCATTTTCTCCCAAGTTAAAGTCACTTCAGTGTTTTGAAATGTTTTTTGTTAATGGCCTCTAGTCCTTGTTTATTTAAAGCCTTAAACAAGAACCAAACTGACTGTTTCTCTCAACAAAAGAGGAATCTCAATTGTTAGTTTTTAAACTGAAAGTGAACTGGGAGGAAAAAGGAAACTTTTTCCACCCGCCACAGGATCTGGTCTGAACCAAACCCAAACTTAAGCAACTTTAGTCACAGATAAACTCTCAAGCCAGAATTAAGTTTGAAACAAATTGCTAGGCTTCTTTCCTCATCAGTGACACTGTTTTTAGAGTTCTTCACTAAAGAGAAGAGTATAAACTGCATTCTGTGAAGAACTCAACTTTTCAAACACTTTCTGCCTATTAGGCTACTTTTATAACTCTTCCATTGATTGGCACCAGAGTAGAAGAGAGATTAGATGACAGAGAAAGTAGTAGAATCAGACCCAAGTTACAGGGGTACTTAGGGTCATCTCCTCTTCCTTCACAAATCCCCAGTGAGCATTTTTATTCTTGCTTTAGTCAGCAGAATCTTATGGTCATCCATTGGAACTGCAAATTTTGAGGGGTTGGCAGGAAGCAATGTAAGATCTATGCATATTGCAGGTAAAAACCTGAGCATTTAACCTTATAGTGAACCTTAAAGTCAGGTATTTTGTAAACAGACATGTCAGATGTGTTACTATGTTTTTTTCATAATGTAATTTTTTTTTTTTTTTTGGAGACAGGGTCTTGCCCTATCACCTGGGCTGCAGGGCAGTGGCATGATCACAGCTCAAGTCAGCCTCAACTTCCTGGGCTCAAGTGATCCTCCCACCTCAGCCTCCTAGAAGCTAGGACTACAGGCATGTGCCACCACACCCGGCTATAAGTGTATGTGGGTGTGTGTTAAAGATAGCATCTCACTACATTATCTAGGCTGGTTTCCAACTCTCGGGCTCAAGTCATCCCTTGGCCTTGGCCTCCCAAGTGCTGGAATTATAGGCATGAACCACTGCACCAGGCCAGAATGTATTTTGATTTAAACTTTGTGTTGTTTTTCTGAGACAGGGTCTCACTTTGTCACCTAGGCTGAAGTGAAGTGGAGTGATCTTAGTTCACTGCAGCCTAGACCTCCTGCCTCAGTGCCCCAAATAGCTGGAACTACAGGTGCGTGCCACCACACCTGGCTAATCTTTTGTATTTTTTGTAAAGACAGGATTTCACTATGCTGCCCAGGCTGATTTTGAACTCCTGAGCTCAAGCCATCTCTGTGCCTTGGCCTCCCAAAGTTCTAGGATTACAGGTGCCCCCGGCCAAACTCAGACTTATTACTAAATATTGGATTTTTAAATAATTTTTAATATTCTGAAATTTCTTTTTCTAAAATTTTTAAGTACAAGCAAACGTGCTGAGAATTGTCACATAACCTAAAAGTTTCTTTAGTGCTTATTACCTGCCAGTGGACTTAACCTTTAATCAGATAATGTTTTGCTTAAATCTTTATTTGCTCTTGTATCTTTAACAACTGCTGGACTTAAGTATCAGATGCAACCTAATTAAAACCATTGATTGTTTCCTTTTCTGGCTTCTGGGACACATACAACACAGTGGGATATACCAAGAGATCCATTATTTTAAAATACTGTTTCTCTTTTAGAGAAATGGATATATAAGCTAGATATTTTACATCCATGAAAAACCAGTGTTTTATTTTGTTTCCATTTTCAACTAGTAACTCCATATTTCCTTTTTCTTTTTTCCTTTTGTTTTGACTTTATAAAATGTACTGCCTTAAAAATAGATCAAATTTTCAGCTTATCTGACAAATATCAGGTACTTTGTAAATTCCCCTGTTATCCCAAACCATAGCATTTCAAGTTTGTTTTTAGTCTTCATAAAGGTTATGGTTAAATGGATGAGAAAGACTTGTTACCTTTCCATTTCCTCTTGCTAAAACTTTCAGAGTTGAGGACAGCTACTGTCACTGATTATGTTACTTAATAGAGCAGTGGTTTTCAACTAGGGGACATATGGCTATATATAGAGGTGTTTTTATTGTAATGACTGGGGAGTGCTACGGGCATTTAGTAAACTACTAATCTCTACTGGATAGAGACCAGAGATTCTGCTACCCATCTCGTAGTGCACAGGATAGTCTTCTGCAACAAAGAATATTTCACCCATAAATGTCAATATAGCCAGTGCTGAAAAATCTGCTTTATAGTGGTCTGGGGATTATATAAGGAAAACGCCACAAGCATAAACATCTTAGAAATGAACTTAAGCAGCCCATAAATGAACCCAAGTATACCTTTTGAACTGACAATGGCTCTGTAAAAGGTATACATTCATGTATGTTATAGCAATAAATACATTGTAACAGGCAAAACCATTTATTAGACTGAATTATCTTTGAAAAATAGTTCTTTCTTTATCATTCCATGGACAGTTTGACAGTCTAGTGAAACTAAATCAGTGTTTTCAGGTGGATAAAATAAAATGCATAGGATTACAAAAGAAACCAGTTATGTACTTTAAAAAATTCAAAACTATGATATACTGGTAGGTTCTTTATTAAAGCATCAAATTATAGAATCCTTTGGTATGTCTAATAACCATAATTTTGAAGTATAAAGAAATCTGTAATCATTATAATGTGATTTTTTAAAATCTGATTTCTATTGGTGATAGTCATAGATTCTAAAACCACTGTGATTTTTTTTGTTGTTGTTGACAAGAGTCTCACTTGATGCCCAAGCTGGAGTGCAGTGGCATGATGATCTCAGCTCACTGCAACCTCTACCTTTCGGGTTCAAGTGATTCTCCTGCCTCAGCCTCCCAAGTAGCTGGCACCACAGACACACACCACCAAACCCGGCTAATTTTTTTGTATTTTTAGTAGAGATAGGGTTTCACCATGTTGGGCAGACTGGTCTCGAACTCCTGACTTCAGGTGATACACCTATCTTGGCCTTTCAAAGTGCTGGGATTATGGGCATGAGCCATTGTACCTGGCCTGTGGTGATTTTTTTTAACTACATTTTTTTTTTAATGCCAAACTTAAGCTAGCAATAGAGAAAAATAAAGGTAGATTTTTTTTCTCTCATCTTGGTTCATGTCCTGTAGTTCAGAACCACTTTGTAAATGATCATCTCAAAATCAGAAGAGCAAAAGGCTTTTCCTTTTGACACAGAATCATCATAGTGAGAAATGAATTGATCATTTGTTAGCTTTGGATAACAAAAATTCCATGCAACACCCAAGAATTTACCATTATATCTTAACAATGTAAAATTCTCTCAAAAAAATCTGATGAAATGTATTGCCTCTGGAGTTAGAGGGTTTGAGTTACGTTATTTTAATTGTATGAACCTCAATTTTCTTATCTTTAAAACTGGCATAATAGTTCCTACTTCATAGATTTGGTATAAGATTTCAAATGATATATTGCATATACAGTGTAGCATATATGCTAATGTAAATGCTCAAATATTTATAATATTGATGATTGTTTAAAAGTACATATTTATATAGGTATATTAAAGCACAAAAATTTTTAATTCAATTTTTTGTTTCTTTTTCTGTTTCCTTCAATCAAACCATTACATCCCATTTTTAAATAAGTTGGAAATTATCATTCACTTTACGTATTAATTTGCTTAGAATTTCTTCTCTAGTGAATTGAGACTGATGAGATTTGCCAAAATTAAATTTCTATGATTTAAGGAATACACTTATAATTTGGAGAGGGACTCATCCATAATACATGTTATAAACCTGTATTAGTATTTACTTAGAAGCTTTATGTGAATGAATTCTGAAGTTAAGGGTAGATTTAGCTTTGATACCATGAAAACTAGATTCTAATATTTTATTTATAGATTATCTTGATATCTTTATGGATATCAAGATGCTAACCTAAAAATAAGTGACCTGTAAAGAAGCACTCTCTACTTTGTGGCCACTTTCAGTTTTTGCCCCCTCTAATTGTGGGCAGATGACAGTTTCACAAGATGATAAAGTTCTACTTAATAGTCAGGATTTTTAAAATATCCCAGGATACAGTCAGGATGCGTGTATCTGCCAACTGCTCTTGGACTATGTGACTGAATATAATGTTTAAGATTAGGAGGTTTTAAGTAAATGTTCCTACAGGCAATATTTTATGAGGTTACTTTTCTTTGTGTAGGTGTAAATTTACAAGGTATATTGATAATGATAATTTAATTATACGGAGTAACAAGCATGATAAGCTCTTCAATCTGGTTTATCTTGCATTTTGGTGGTAGATTTTTTAAAATACTCTAATTTTTTATCTTCTAACTCTTTCCAAAATGAATTACTCATCTTCCAATTTCATCCCCCTTTATTTTTCAAACTAGGGATGTTTAAATCTGGGACAAATTGTATATGCTTATTCATTTAAGTAATTTATAAAGGCAGTCCTTGTTACAGGGTGTCTTTGAATGGGAAAAATTCTTCATTCATCAACAAATAATTATTTAGCCTGTTAAGTGTCAAGGTATTATTCTGGGCACTAAAGGTACGGTAGTAAACAAAAGGCTCTGTCCTGGGCTGTTTATATTCTAGTCTCAACAATCGTTTACTGCTCTGATAATGAGTTTGCTAAAGCTGAAAATGTTACTATCTTAAAAGTGAATATAATTTTATAAAATAACTGAGAAGCATTCTAATACAGGTAATAGAAGAGTTCTCATTCCTACTCATGTAAGACCGTACTATATTAAAACATGACAAATATTTAAACCATGGTTTTTCATATTTTCAAATCTGCCCTTAGTATTGTTAACAGTTTATCTTAATCAGTTCTTATTTTTTGTCTGTGATTTTTCTTTTCCAGAAACTGGCAGACCTTTCACTTCGTATCCAACAAATTGAAACAACTCTCAATATTTTAGATGCAAAGGTTTGTATTTCTGAATAGTTTGTAGTATAAACTTTGCTGTACATATACCAGCTTTCTTAATCATACTTAACTTTCATTGCATTTAGGAATGATTCCATTTAACTTCTGTATCTATGAAGTGATACTGGTTGTGTTTTTAATTTTACTGCAGTTGCAAAGAAAATGGTGTTCAGTATGAAACATTAATTCAAATGTACACATAGTTTGAGATAGGCAAATGCATAATGCAAGTAACATGTTAACAAGTTGAGCTGTTATATAGTTCTCTTCATTTGATAGAAAATTCCAAAATTATTTTACTAGTTATTTGATAATACAATAATAATTATATAAATGTTTAGATGTCTCAGAGCAAACTTTGGAGACAATATATGCTGTTTCTGTTTGCAAATATCTTAAGTACTAATGAAGAATACCAGTTTTCATTAGTGTCAGAAATTGCAAATGATAACTAAGAAAAATAGGAGACTGTTTTAGATTGAAAGCTTAAAGATTTTGATAACAGGGATATATTTAGTTTGGTTTCATTTTTAATATATTTATATATTTCACAGGTTTTTTTCTGTTTATAAAGTTTTATGGAGACACTAGTGTATTTTCATGACTAACTTTTCTGAAATTAATATTTTCTTTGTCCATTTACCAAAAAAAACTAAGAAATATTCAATGAATATTTATTAGGAAGAAAATAATGATATCTCTTTTGAATATGACCAGAATATCTAGTTTGCACTTTCTAGGTCTCCTTATGGACCTCACCTGTGTTTCTCTTAGAACATTTCTCTAGTTTGAAAACCTGGCCTTGAACGTGTTTAGATATTCTTTTAGCAGCCATAACCACTTGAAACTATTTGGGCTGTAGCCACTATGCTAACTATGGTTATCAGTCAACAGTTTTCAATGAGTGCTACTGCTTGAGATCTTATTACCATTGGTTTTTTAAATTATTCTTTATTATGAATATGTGTCTTATTTTAGTGTTTAAGGAATTCTTATGGAGTTAGAGTCCAAGGTGACACGTTAAGTTACCATATGGAGAAGTTAACCTTAGTTATTCCCATAGCCATAGAGTCATCCCCAAAATTAGCCAAATATCTGATGAATATGTGTCATTGATACTGGGATGAACTCAGAAAAGAAGGTTTGCGTGGGTCTTGCAGATCTAACCTGAAATGCTTAACTATTTCATAGTGAAATGCTAAACCATTTCAGGTTGAAATGCCAACAATATGCCCATTGTTTTGCAGACAAGAAACATTTTAATAACATTCAGTGATGAGTGTTCAAAGAAAGAAAAAAGAATGAGCTGTGTCATACATTAAAGTGTAAAGACAAAATTTTTGTCATATCCTAGGTAATTTAAAATTTGCACAAAGCAATTTTTTCCCAAAGTATTATTAATAGAAATATTTTTACAACAACGTTACTAGGTACATTTTCTTATCTCCACTTTACAGGTGAGATAATTGAGGCATAGAGAGATTTATACAAGATCACACAGCTTGTGAATTGTCGATCTAAAACTTAAACCTAGACAGTCTGACCCCAAAGACCAGGCTCTCAGTCTTAACACTACGATTGTCTACATTTTGAAAAATGATATAAATGACATAGCTTCTTATATAAACTAAATTAGATTTTGAGAAGTTCTTCAAAAGTATTTATGACTATCTATCCCCTTTAGTTTATGACATGGAGAATTAAAAACAAGATTTTATGAACCTATTTGTGTAGACTTAAAACTTAAGACCGCTATTAAAAATACACAAACCTAGAAATGTATAGTGGTCATCTATGCAGGTTCTTTCTTTATAGTTCAATACCAGTTTTCTTTTCTCAGTTGTCATCTATCCCAGGCCTAGATGATGTCACAGTTGAAGTATCTCCTTTAAGTGTCACAAGTGTCACAAATGGAGCACATCCTGAAGCCACTTCAGAGCAACCACAGGTGAGTTGTAAGAAACGAGCAGATGTTCTTTGTTGAGACTGATAGCAGCAGGTTGGAAGGAAGAAAAATAAAAACATAAAACTTCTAATAGTAAAATTTTAAAACCTTAATATAGAAAATGAAATTTGGGAAAAACAAATTTGCTGTGTTATTTTGAAGGCCTTCCTGATGTTAATACTTGCTTTGCCTATGAAAAAGAAAATGAATCTGTATAAAACTAGGAAAAATCATCAAATAATTATTTTCTTGAAAATAATTAGAAATTTTTCTAAGTTCTTATAAGAAATGTATATTTAAGATGTTTTATTGTAAAATTTTAAAGCATACACAAAAATAGACCTAGATTCACCAGTTATTATTTTGTTACAATTGCTCCATCTATTTTTTGTCACTTGCTGAAATTAATTTCAGACATGTCATCTCACTCCTGCATAAATTTTTGAGCATCTCTGAAAAGTTTTGACATTTTCTTTTGTAACTTTTTTTTATATAAATGCCTTTATCATATACAATATAATTAACAATAATTGGCCAAGTGCAGTGGCTCACACCTATAATCCCAACACTTTGGGAGGCCAAGGCAGGTGGATCAATTGAGCTCAGGAGTTCAAGATCAGCCTGGGCAACATGGTGAAACACTATCTCCACTAAAAACACAAAAATTAGCCAGGCGTGGTGGCGCATACCTGTGGTCCCAGCTACTCAGGAGGCTGAGGTGGGAGGATCAGTTGAGCCAAGGAGTCAGAGGTTGCAGTGAAATGAGATTGCACTACTGCCCTCCAGCCTGTGTGACAGCACAAAACTCTGTCTCAAAAAAAAAAAAAAATCCTGGTATTGTCTAACCCCTTGTTACTCACATATACCCCATGGACCAACTGCATGGCCATCACCAGCAGCTTGGCAGAATGAAGCATCTCAGACTCTACCCCAAAACTGCTGATCAGAATCTACATTTTAATAAGACCTCTAGGTGATCTGTAGGCTCTTGAAATTTGAAAGCTACTGATCTTAGAAATACCAGTTGTCTAAAAAGTGTATTTTTGAAGTTGATTCGTTTGAATCTGCATCCTAGTAAAACCTATACTTTACATTTGGCTCTTAGATCTTAATGTTCACTTAAGCTTCTGTAAAATTTTTTATTACTTTTTATTTCAAAAAAATAAAGATTATTTGTTGTTTGAGAACAGTCTCTAGTGTATCTCAGTGAGGTATTAAAATCTAAAACAAAATAATCATCAAAATGGTGGCCTACCAAAATCATAATAAACAAATAAAACAAATAGACTTGCATAATGGAATTCGGCCTTTACACCTGGAGGTACTTTTCCAGGATATATTTTAGATCATGATGACGTTGACAATGATGATAATAGCTAACACATAAAGGGTGCTTCCTGTGTACCAGGGCTTGCACATTTCTAAGTGCCTTGCATAAACTACTTCATTTAATCTTTACAGCAGTCCTATAATATAAGCACTATATTATCTTACTTTATAGATGGGTCAAATGAGGTATATAGAACTTAAGTAACTTGCCAAAGTTCAAAAAGTAATGTAAGAACTGGAATTTTGACCCAGACAGTCTGGTGCCAAGAGCCCTAGCACTTACCTGCTACACTGCACAGTACTACACTACACTACACTACACTGTTTTCACTACCCGTGTTCAATTTATTAAACATATTGATGATGTATGGTATGAGGCCCTGTAGAAAGAGCCATATTTTTAGAATATCATATGTATTTGGGTAATAAATTAAATGGTCATTTACTTAATTAGATATTATGAAATTCAACATCCATTTATTTAATATAGCAAATTTTGGCTGGGCGCAATGGCTCATACCTGTAATCCCAGCACTTTGGGAGGCTGAGGCAGACAGATCAAGAGTCGAAACAATCCTGGCCAACCTAGTGAAATCCCGTCTCTACTGAAAATACAAAAATTAGCTGGGTGTGGTGGCATGCACCTGTAGTCCCAGCTACCCAGGAGGCTGAGGCAGGAGAATTGCTTGAACCCAGAAGGCAGAGGTTGCAGTGAGCCAAGATTGCGCCAGTACACTCAGCCTGTTGACAAAGCAAGATTCCATCTAAAAAAAAAAGAAAAACTACATATATATGTGTGTGTGTGTGTGTGTATATGTATATATACATACGTATGTATATGCATATATATGTGTGTATATGCATGTATACATATATATATATATATATATATATATATAGCATATTTCATTATGGCCACCCAAATATATAAAATGTGCAAGAAAATATCCAGATGTTGTAGAGGAGTTTAACTTTACATTACCTCAATTAAATATGACTATCCTCTTTCTAAAACAAAGCATCTATAAAGAATATCAAAAAAATATTTCTACTCTACCTAGTAGTTATGTGGTAGACAGTGTTGTCATATACTTTTATAAAAATTTTAAGTGTACCTAACTTTGATTATTAATTTTTCCAGGTGCTATTATGAATGCCATCTATAATATGTACTTTAAAATTTTTATTCAGTTGTGTTGGTCTCACATGTTTAATGTCCCAAAAAGTTGATTACCAGTAATCACAGCTGAATTTCTTAATGTGCTTTGGAAATTAAGAATAACCTGATATATCTCTGGCAGCTTTATTTAAAAATTGTACAGGTATTTATTTAGAGGGTTTATGAAGTTTTTTGGCTTCCAACGTTTGAAATATTGTGATAAAGTTGTATGTTGATTAGCTTAATAAAATAACTGCTCAGCATGTTCTTAATATTCAAATCAACTTCTCATTTCTTCATTATTATTAAATGGTATATTTTATATTTTATACAAAATGTTTTGAAATGGGCTTAAGTATTACTTAATGCAGAGTTTTCATTGACATTCTAGTCAACTCGATTATCAGATAAAGGAGAATAATGCACTTAAAAAAATTATTTATCATTCTTTCTAATCTATACGTGAGTCAAAGATGCAAGCTTTGTTTACTGATTTTTTGGCAAAATTTAATTTCATGGTTCCGATTTTATCATTATTCACAATAGAATATCCAGTTGTGGAGATTGAGATTGGTTTGAGAATAAATGAAGGACAGTTGAGAGATATGATAGAGGATTGAATGGGTCATTCAAATAGCAAAGGTATAATATATTTCATAATTAAACCTTGTTGAGGTCTTTGTTATTACACAAAAGTTAACAATTGAGAGCTGATATCTGGCCAGGATATAGTTCTCATTTGCACAATTTTGCTATTATATGAGTTTAATTTCCATGAATTTGTTAAAAACATACTTGGATATATTATTTTAATTTTTTATTTAACAGTGTTTTGAAAGCTTTGTATTTATGTATATTTTAGATGAATATATGTATACTCACTTTTGTAACACTTAACAATATCATGTAACAGAAGAACCTAAAGGTTTTTTGGGTGTTTTATTTGCTTTAGAGTTTTTGACAGATTTAATTTATATTTGAATTATCTGAGAAAAAACTTCAATATGCAATTTACATTCATATTCTAAAGACTATGAAGATAGAAAGATTGATTTTTCTATATTTCAGCATAGACAATAGACATACAATTGATTTCTGCTAAGGTAATTCTTCTTAATGCTTATATACAGATAATGAGAGAGATTCACAAAACTAAGCTTTTTCTAAATGTTTGGTTTGATAGAAAAATCAAGTGCTGTATACAGGCAGTTCTAGCTTTGCACTTAAGCAAGGATATTGATCTGATTTGCACAAGTTTCAGTACCATGGTACCAAGACTGCCTGGGTAACAACAGCATTTTTGTCTAAAAAGACCACTCCCCAGTATTCTTATTGTTAAGTTATATTTAGTAATTCATCTTAATCAGTCTGTAGGCAGTGTTACCATTAATAGTTCCATCAGTAGCTGAAATATATAAAACCAGATAATTTTGTTCTACAAATTCTCTAAAAATTGCTTTCTAAAAAGTTAGAAGAGCCATGTCCACTTAGAATAAAATGATTTAATAAATAAAGGGCTCAATTAGGTAGATGATAGATACCTAGGAAATCAATTCATCATTATCTCAGTAAACTTATTAATTTGTAGATAGTTCATAAGTTTCATTAGCTTTATTAAAAGTTTTGTTAAAATAGTATAACCACCTATAATTCATGCTTTGTGTCAGCACTCTGAGGACAAATAAAGCAGAATTTTAATTTTATTGCATGAATATACTTGCATTTTAAGGAACCAATATAGGGTTGAAATGTAACCTCTTCTGAAGTGATATTTAAATATTTGTAGGTATTTGGAAACATATCTCATAATTAAATTATTGGTATTTAAATTTGGGGATATGATTTTTTCTGCCATTTATTGCCTTAGAATTATGGAAAGAAACATCCCTTTTAAGTAAGATGATGGACCCCTTTTGTGAATTGTCTAAAGATTTACACAAAATACTCTCTACAGCAGAACAGTACACAAGACTCTGGACTACAGGAAAGTGAAGTATCAGCAGAAAATATCTTAACTGTAGCCAAGGATCCAAGATATGCCAGATATCTCAAAATGGTTCAAGTGGTAAGCTATTGGTCTGTCTTCTTTGTGTAGCAGCCTCATTTGAAATTCTTAACCCTGGAGGTTTTACTGTTATTTTTTCAATCTGAGAAAACTGGTAAACGAAGTTTTCTGTTCTCTTCTTTCCTATTTTAATTAATAATCTGATTTTTAAAAATCAGAAGTCAAATCTTGATAATTAGAATTGATCTCACATTTCAAATTAACATAGTTTAATTTAGATTTATGTAAATTTTTTTGCTTTACACGAAGTTATCAATGCAAATGTTAGATACAGAAAGTAATGAAAGTAGACTATTCATTTGGTAAATCATTTGACTCTAGCTTAATCCCCATACACTAGCACAAATAATAACTTTTTTTTTTTTTTAATTTTTATTGGATTTTAGGTTTTGGGGTACATGAGCAGAGCATGCAAGACAGTTGCATAGATACACACATGGCAGTGTCCTTTGCTTTTCTTCTCCCCTTCACCCACATTTGGCATTTCTCCCCAGGCTATCCCTCCCCACCTCCCCCTCCCACTGGCCCTCCCCTTTTCCCCCCAATAGACCCCAGTGTTTAGTACTCCCCTTTCTGTGTCCATGTGTTCTCATTTTTCATCACCCACCTATGAGTGAGAATATGCGGTGTTTCATTTTCTGTTCTTGTGTCAGTTTGCTGAGGATGATGTTCTCCAGATTCATCCATGTCCCTACAAACGACACAAACTCATCATTTCTGATTGCTGCATAATATTCCATGATGTATATGTGCCACATTTTTCCAATCCAGTCTATTATCAATGGGCATTTGGGTTGATTCCAGGTCTTTGCTATTGTAAACAGTGCTGCAATGAACATTCGTGTACATGTGTCCTTATAGTAGAACGATTTACAGACTTTTGGATATATACCCAGTAATGGGATTGCTGGGTCAAATGGAATTTCCATTTCTAAGGCCTTGAGGAATCGCCACACTGTCTTCCACAATGGTTGAACTAATTTACACTCCCACCAACAGTGTAAAAGTGTTCCTTTTTCTCCACATCCTCTCCAGCATCTGTTCTCTCCAGATTTTTTAATGATCGCCATTCTAACTGGCGTGAGATGGTATCTCAATGTGGTTTTGATTTGCATCTCTCTGATGACCAGTGACGATGAGCATTTTTTCATATGATTGTTGGCCTCATATATGTCGTCTTTCGTAAAGTATCTGTTTATATCCTTTGCCCACTTTTGAATGGGCTTGTTTGGTTTTTTCCTGTAAATCTGTTTGAGTTCTTTGTAAATTCTGGATATCAGCCCTTTGTCAGATGGGTAGACTGCGAAAATTTTTTCCCATTCTGTTGGTTGCCGATCCACTCTAGTGACTGTTTCTTTTGCCGTGCAGAGCTGTGGAGTTTCATTAGGTCCCATTTGTCTATTTTGGCTTTTGTTGCCAATGCTTTTGGTGTTTTGTTCATGAAGTCCTTGCCTACTCCTATGTCCTGGATAGTTTTGCCTAGATTTCCTTCTAGGGTTTTTATGGTGCCAGGTGTTATGTTTAAGTCTTTAATCCATCTGGAGTTAATTTTAGTGTAAGGTGTCAGGAAGGGGTCCAGTTTCTGCTTTCTGCACATGGCTAGCCAGTTTTCCCAACACCATTTGTTGAACAGGGAATCCTTTCCCCATTGCTTGTTTTTGTCAGGTTTATCAAAGATTGTATAGTTGTATGTATGTTGTGTTGCCTCCGGTGCCTCTGTTTTGTTCCATTGGTCTATATCTCTGTTTTGGTACCAGTACCATGCTGTTTTGATTACTGTAGCCTTGTAGTATAGTTTGAAATCCAGTAGTGTGGTGCCCCCCGCTGTGTTCTTTTTGCTTAGAATTGACTTGGCTATGCGGGCTCTCTTTTGGTTCCATATGAAGTTCATGGTGGTTTTTTCCAGTTCAGTGAAGAAAGTCGATGGTAGCTTGATGGGGATAGCGTTGATTCTGTAAATTACTTTGGGCAGTATAGCCATTTTCACGATATTAATTCTTCCTAACCATGAACATGGAATGTTTCTCCATCTGTTTTGTGTCCTCTCTGATTTCGTTGAGCAGTGGTTTGTAGTTCTCCTTGAAGAGGTCTCTTACGTTCCTTGTGAGTTGTATTCCAAGGTATTTTATTCTTTTTGTAGCAATTGCGAATGGCAGTTCGCTCTTGATTTGGCTTTCTTTAAGTCTGTTATTGGTGTAGACGAATGCTTGTGATTTTTCCACATTGATTTTATATCCTGAGACTTTGCTGAAGTTGCTTATCAGTTTCAGGAGTTTTTGGGCAGAGGCAATGGGGTCTTCTAGGTATACTATCATGTCGTCTGCAAATAGAGACAATTTGGCTTCCACCTTTCCTATTTGAATACCCTTTATTTCTTTTTCTTGCCTGATTGCTGTGGCTAGAACTTCCAGTACTATATTGAATAGGAGTGGTGAGAGAGGGCATCCTTGTCTAGTGCCAGATTTCAAAGGGAATGCTTCCAGTTTTTGCCCATTCAGTATGATATTGGCTGTTGGTTTGTCATAAATAGCTTTTATTACTTTGAGATACGTTCCATCGATACCGAGTTTATTGAGGGTTTTTAGCATAAAGGGCTGTTGAATTTTGTCAAATGCCTTCTCTGCGTCAATTGAGATAATCATGTGGTTTTTGTTTTTGGTTCTGTTTATGTGGTGAATTACATTGATAGACTTGCGTATGTTGAACCAGCTTTGCATCCCCGGGATGAATCCTACTTGATCATGATGAATAAGTTTTTTGATTTGCTGTTGCAATCGGCTTGCCAATATTTTATTGAAGATTTTTGCATCTATGTTCATCATGGATATTGGCCTGAAGTTTTCTTTTCTCGTTGGGTCTCTGCCGGGTTTTGGTATCAGGATGATGTTGGTCTCATAAAATGATTTGGGAAGGATTCCCTCTTTTTGGATTGTTTGAAATAGTTGTAGAAGGAATGGTACCAGCTCCTCCTTGTGTGTCTGGTAGAATTCGGCTGTGAACCCGTCTGTACCTGGGCTTTTTTTGTGTGGTAGGCTCTTAATTGCTGCCTCAACTTCAGACCTTGTTATTGGTCTATTCATAGTTTCAGCTTCCTCCTGGTTTAGGCTTGGGAGGACACAGGAGTCCAGGAATTTATCCATTTCTTCCAGGTTTACTAGTTTATGTGCATAGAGTTGTTTGTAATATTCTCTGATGATGGTTTGAATTTCTGTGGAATCTGTGGTGATTTCCCCTTTATCATTTTTTATTGCATCTATTTGGTTGTTCTCTCTTTTCTTTTTAATCAATCTGGCTAGTGGTCTGTCTATTTTATTGATCTTTTCAAAAAAACAGCTCTTGGATTTATTGATTTTTTGAAGGGTTTTTCGTGTCTCAATCTCCTTCAGCTCAGCTCTGATCTTAGTTATTTCTTGTCTTCTGCTGGGTTTTGAGTTTTTTTGATCTTGCTCCTCTAGCTCTTTCAATTTTGACGATAGGGTGTCAATTTTGGATCTCTCCATTCTCCTCATATGGGCACTTATTGCTATATACTTTCCTCTAGTGACTGCTTTAAATGTGTCCCAGAGGTTCTGGCATGTTGTGTCTTCGTTCTCATTGGTTTTGAAGAACTTCTTTATTTCTGCCTTCATTTCGTTGTTTACCCAGTCAACATTCAAGAGCCAGTTGTTCAGTTTCCATGAAGCTGTGCGGTTCTGGATCGGTTTCTGAATTCTGAGTTCTAACTTGATTGCACTATGGTCTGAGAGGCTGTTTGTTATGATTTCAGTTGTTTTGCATTTGTTGAGCAGTGCTTTACTTCCAATTATGGGGTCAATTTTAGAGTAGGTGTGATGTGGTGCTGAGAAGAATGTGTATTCTGTGGATTTGGGGTGGAGAGTTCTGTAAATGTCTATCAGGTTTGCTTGCTCCAGGTCTGAGTTCAAGCCCTGGATATCCTTGTTGATTTTCTGTCTGGTTGATCTGTCTAGTATTGACAGTGGAGTGTTAAAGTCTCCCACTATTCCTGTGTGGGAGTCTTAAGTCCTTTTGTAAGTCATTAAGAACTTGCCTTATGTATCTGGGTGCTCCTGCATTGGGTCCATATATGTTTAGGATCGTTAGCTCTTCTTGTTGTATCGATCCTTTTACCATTATGTAATGGCCTTCTTTGTCTCTTTTGATCTTTGTTGCTTTAAAGTCTATTTTATCAGAGATGAGAATTGCAACTCCTGCGTTTTTTTGCTTTCCATTAGCTTGGTAAATCTTCCTCCATCCCTTTATTTTGAGCCTTTGTGTATCCTTGCATGTGAGATGGGTTTCCTGGATACAGCACACTGATGGGTTTTGGATTTTTATCCAATTTGCCAGTCTGTGTCTTTTGATTGGTGCATTTAGTCCATTTACATTTAGGGTTAATATTGTTATGTGTGAATTTGATACTGCCCTTTTGATGCTAAGTGGCTGTTTTGCCTGTTAGTTGTTGTAGATTCTTCATTATGTTGATGCTCTTTAGCATTCAGTGTGATTTTGGAATGGCTGGTACTGGTTGATCCTTTCTATGTGTAGTGCCTCTTTTAGGAGCTCTTGTAAAGCAGGCCTGGTGGTGACAAAATCTCTGAGTACTTGCTTGTTCGCAAAGGATTTTATTTTTCCTTCACTTCTGAAGCTCAGTTTGGCTGGATATGAAATTCTGGGTTGAAAGTTCTTTTCTTTAAGAATGTTGAATATTGGCCCCCACTCTCTTCTGGCTTGTAGTGTTTCTGCCGAGAGATCTGCTGTGAGTCTGATGGGCTTCCCTTTGTGGGTGACCCGACCTTTCTCTCTGGCTGCCCTTAGTATTCTCTCCTTTATTTCAACCCTGTTGAATCTGACGATTATGTGCCTTGGGGTTGCTCTTCTTGCGGAATATCTTTTTGGTGTTCTCTGTATTTCCTGCAATTGAGTGTTGGCCTGTCTTGCTAGGTGGGGGAAATTTTCCTGGATGATGTCCTGAAGAGTATTTTCCAGCTTGGATTCATTCT